AAGGACTCTTGATTATGTTAGCTAAAGGAAGAGCTGCTTACAAAGCACCGAGTAGGTGTCACAGTTCCTAACTGTATTCTATACTTGTCTTATAAAAGTTCTTGCCCTGGCTGAATGACTGATTTATCACCGGGAAGCCTAAACCATACTACAAACTTGAAATTTAGGCAGTTAATGCTTTTTATGTTGCACCCACTAAGAAAGGATTTTGGAAATTTCACGCGTAATGAGGATAAAGGATGAACGGTTGTATAGAAATTCGTCATTTTCAAATTTAAAAATAGATAGTATTCTAAATACATCTTTTTTGTTATCTTTAGTACACTGACGAATTGATGTGCAACGCTTAGCTTTGTTTTTATTAAAGAAGGAGAATTTCTCAATTTAGTTGTATTTTCGGAACGAAGTTCCTTATCGCGCGTTACATCGCTTTGAGCGGAGCGGAGCGAGACCGAAAACTGTGCAACAAGACTTTTTTCAGACATCGTTCCGACCGGGGGTCCATAGACCCCTCACGCCGTTGTAATGTCATGCCGCTCCATCACTTACTCACCATTTAAGGTACACCATTAGGTACCTAATAAACTATCCCGCAATCACTTAAACTTTGTCGCTCTAAGCTGAGTAAGTCAGTTAGTTGTATTCCGAACCTTTGCAAAATCTCGATTTTGTATGTCTCTATCCGCCTTTAGTAGTTTACTAAAACGTAGCTTGTGCCAGAGGGCCTACTACTCGATTGTGGATTACATGGAGGACAAGAATGCTTGGGATTAATTAGCGCAGGCTATTTCTTTCTTAAGTAAAAATGTGGTGTGGCTAGTATGTTTTTTATTATTTTTTCTATTTTTTATGTTTCACTTCATTTTCTCTTGTATTCGTTTGTTCTTCTTAATCTTGTTTTCTCTTCGTTGTTTTTTCACCTTTAAGTGCTTAATAACGGACATACTAGCACATATCAAAACAATGTTGTGATATATTTAATAGTGCCATTGTATCTACTTGTGAATTGCAAAAGAGTGGCCATGAGTTTGTTTGCCCTTTCTTCTCATAAGGCTCAACCCCTTGGAAACGGGCGGTTGTAGATCGGCACAGGCATATCATAGATTTTGTATGGGTTTGATTTTGTTAAATTTATTTGGTTACTATTTGACAAAACAGAGATTGTTGCTTTTGTGTGTGTTGATCTATGACTTTAGAGTCTACATGGAAGACGATTTCAAACAATTTTGAAAATTTTATGAAATAAAGAAAGTTTGAGTTTGAGTTTGAATTTACTAGAGGCGGAATGAAAGGCAAAAGCTAGTGGTTTATATAAATGAATCAAACAATCCTTTATACAATCAACTATTCTATTTATGTAGTTGAATAAAAGTGATGTCGCACACTCCATCTATACATATAAATAAAATTAAAATGTCTGTTTGTGATTTTAAATTTTAGGTTTCTTGCTATGCTGATATGGTTTTTTTAGCACTAAAACACTTGATTATTATTTTTTGTCTATTTGTTCGCCATAAATTTCGAAAGCCCTGTGCCGATTTCATCCTGTTAGATTTTTCAGAAAATATTACGTGCCATTTTTGGGTTAGTTTGCTCAGCTAAACAGTTCTAATACATAACGTCTTTTTTACTTTTCCAAAGTTAGCTAAAAAATTTTTATTCGTTTTCGAAGTTACGGGCAGTAGCTAGTTTCAAATAAACAAACAATTTAGCACAAATATATATGTCCCGCTCCCGTCCTTTTACACTTGACCTTGAACTTGCAAAACGTTCAAGTGCGAGGATGTGCCAAAACCGAGGGTCCTGATTGAGTAATAGCCTAAATTATTCTCCTCTTCCTTCGCTCTTTGTGTCAGCATGATCAAATGATATATGGACTGACGCAAATGTACAACAACATCTCTTTGTGAAAAGTGATATATTTTGATGTGATGATTGAGGATTTTTTCTCATCTTATTTGATAAGGATTGAAACGGAAGAATATTGAATCGCTTGACGTCAGTATTTTGCGTGCATTGTTCAAATGATCATTGAGTATGCCAGTTATCGTTTATTTCTTTTGTGTTTCGCTTATTCTCTTTACATTTGATTTATAAACACAATAAAAAATATTGTAAGCGCAATATCCATGTTACATTATAAATGTTAAAGTAAGTTTTTTTATCTGTTTGTTTGTCGCAATTAAAAACTAGAACATAATAATATTAAAAAAACAAAACGAACAATCCTAATATTAGGCATTCGCATACAATGTGTAACATCTGACATCTCATTGGTCAAATCAAATAGCGAGCACTTCCGTTGCTTCCCGTTTCATGCTTCCGATTTTTTGCACGAAATCAGACACTCCCGTAGATTGCAGCAAGCAAGACGAAAGATGTTACACATTTAGATGTGTGCAAGCAAAGACTATGACCTCCAGGGCTTGGTGGTTTCTTTCTGTGAAGCTGTGATGCTTCAGATATAGATCGCTGATTGGGATCGGATCGACAGGACCGCATCCTTGTGCGGAAATCCTCTCGAATATCACCTACCGGTGGGGTGATTATATCGGACTCGATCCGACCAAAAACCGCACGCCGTCTCGGCTACCAGTGGCCGGGGAGTAGAAACACTGCACCTGGTAGACCTCTGTAAAAAAATGAACGTAGATAAAAAAAAAAACTAAATTTGAAATAGTGGTAGCAGTAGCCTAGTACTTTAAGCGGTTACTTGCCGCTTTTTACTGAGCTGTTAAGGGTTCGATCCTCACATCGGTGGGTCCTACGTAAAGGGGGCGAAACTGCAAAAAGCTAATTTACATGAGAGACATTCTAAATTTAATTCAACGTTTCGTTTCGTATCCAAGAAAGTTCTTAACAGATTTGGCTGAAATTATGCACACAGTATAAGTGAATAGCCTTCTTTAAGATAGTATAGTATTAGTATCATATGTTTTAACCAATTTTGAGATAAATCACTTTGACTTTTATACTTTATTTTAATTAGGAAGACTTTAATTAAGGAAGAAATTAAAAGAAATAGTAAATATAAACCTAGTACAAAGACGAAAGTTTTGATTCGCATTTCTAATTCACTTTTAGATAAATAAGGCAAACTAAGAGCCTACTGATAATTTCAATAAAATAATTTTATTATTGTCACTAAATCTGATTATTTATTGATTAGATTCAAATAATTTATAGCAATATAGCGTTTATGTACTTAAAAAAGTCAGTTTCAGAGTTTTAGTACGTCAAAGACCTAGAAACAGTTGTGAACTATGTTAAAGATCCCATGTAGTGTCTTGAAGTTAAAGAAAATGCCATAATTAACAACTAAGACAACTGTGTGTCTTAGTTGTTAATTGTTGTGTGAAAAAAACATTAGAATGTTTTCTACAGAAATTTTCACATTACACAAATCTTTATACGTGCTCTGGAATCAAACCCGAAATCTTTGTTTCAGCAATTCATTAAAGTTAGCTAGCCACTCATATTAAAAGTTACACTTACGTCACCATGACTATTTTTATACCCAATGGTATATCGTTCTTAAATATATAATTTTAAATACATATTACATGTATGAATAACATATTAATGTCTTAAATATTAACAATATTATAATATTAACATTAAATTGTCATAAATATTGGTAATAAATATTCCTTACAATTTATATCAGTTAATAGGTAAATATTATATTGCTTTAATTGCGATAATTCAATGTATTTATATTTGCATGTCTGAAATTTAGCGATTCACAAAATAATTTTTTGAATTATTGTAAGCCTAAATGGCAGAACATAATAGATCATTCTACCACTGTAAACAACCTTTGTATGCCTATGTTTCACAATAAAAACTGATTGATTGATTGATTTATTTATTTTAAGTTACCAGTTAGCCATATATTTTAACTAAAGTGCAGAGTTTGTAAAGTTACGTTTGTCCGAGCCATATGGTTTCGTCTTGACATTTGATATGAAAATGTTGTTGGTGGAATTTATATAAGTTAAACAAATGGCCGTTGAAAGTAAAATCAAGAGTTGAAAGATTTCTAAAACGGATTATTATACTTTTCGGAAATAGAAAATATAAAAACCATTACTTAATTTAACACGAATAAAATGAAAAATAACTACATTTTACTGTAAGAGAATACTACTAACGCAATCTACCGACAGTTCCGAAGATTATTGTTTGATTAGTTCACAAGTTTGTTCAGGTATTTCAACAAGGTATTTCAACTGAGAATGACTATAAAAGCTAACAACACCTTTATATGTATATTATTATGTTGATCAGCTATAGTCGGAGTGTCTATTGTCAGACTAAAATAAAATAATTTTCTTTGGTTCTGTAATAAAATTTAATGAGTTATTTCATATCAACCAACAGACGATCTTAAAGAATTGGTCAGTGTATAAACTTGTTAATGGTTATTGAATGTTTTTTTTTTGTGATTTTAACGAACTCTTCTTTGACACTTACATTTATTGTGAAATTTGTCTTTAAAAATTTGGCGAATTGTTAAAAGATGTCGCTAGTTTATGATTTCAAAAAATATTTACTACAATATTTTCGTAATAAATATTTGTAATTTGAAATTTTAAGTATAAAGCAGTTTATCTAGATGAGTGCAGTTCAATAAATGAACCTCTATTTCCATTGTAAAGAACATGTCTTTATAACTTATACCTTAATTTGTAAATGCTAATTGTCAGTGTTGTCATTATTTTAATGGTTTTTTCAGAAACAGAGAGTTAAACTTTATAAATCATTTTTTATTCAATAAGTTGTTGTTTTAGTGTTCAACATGTAATATTCATCAGATGAATAAGAGTTATAAAACAAAAAATAAACCAATAAAAGGTTCTTTCGATAAGAAAGTATAGTAACCCTGAACAAAATGTCAGAAACATTGTTTTGAAATTTGAAATCAAATAATCTTAGCTTAACGGCGAATGAATTCCTACAATTGGTATATTGAATTGTAATAATTGTAGTTGTCTAAAATGAATACATTAAATGAGATGAGTGATGAAGAATTCGTGCCATTTCTGCACAATTTAGGTGTAGAAACATACAAAAAGTCATTTGAGTGGATGTTAAGTGACCGCGATTTTGCAGGTGTTTTACGATGGCTATACAACAATTTAGATCACAATAATGCCCTTACTGCTCGTGAAGAATGCCGGTAACTATTAATATTTGTCAATTTTTATCAATTTCGATAGGTAAACCTAATACCTAACTAATGATGTAGGAGATCAACCACAGCTAACATTGTTTCTGCTTCTTTTTTTAATCGTCACTTCTGTAATGGTTATTTTAGGTTTTTTTTGTTTTCTGGGACTAACGCAGTGTTTAATGTTTTTAAAGTGAAATCTTAGGCGCGTTGGGCAGTTTTTGAGATGGGAAAAAGCAATTGAACTCGCGACACTGTTACCATTAGCGATACCTCTGTATATAAGTTTTCACTTCTGTCGGCACTCCCGGAATACCCCTGTTACTTTTTATATGAGACAATTTCTGCACTAGGAATATATCCTGTGTCGCAGGAGACTTTATAAACATTAACTCAAATGGACACAAAGAACACCTAGACTCAGAACAATAATTTATGGATCACACAAAGTGTTGTCATGAGTGGGGATCGAACCCACACAACTCAGTATAGTAGGAAACAGCTGCTGTGTCCGCTTACCACTATGCCATCTATGCAGTCAACTACTATATTTGTTACTATAAATATAATTGTTCCAAATAATTGCTAGTACCTTAACTTATTTTTTTACTTGACAGTAACGCATAGGTAGACCCTTTACTCCTTATTACGTTGAGATGAATTTGATTGATATATAGGACTATTGTTTGATATAATTTGTATGTCCATTCCAACTGAGCAGAACATTATTTCATATTATTTCATGTATTTCTAGATACCTAGAACTTGAAAAGAAAGGTCTTCTCTTATCGCCGGAAGATTTAGAAACTTCAATCTTGGATATACAGCATCAATATGAGAGTATCTGTTTACCTGGAGATAAGGAGGCTGTGGAAGATGTTAAATTAGACATACATATGATGAAGGAGCGACTTAGTATGTTAGAGAAACAAGAGGCTATGTTTGAGGATTTGAAAAAGCAGAATGAGTAAGAAATCTTATTTATCCAAATCTCCCTTTTCATTACAAATTTCATAGGTTAAGACCCATGCTCAACAGTAGATATATGAAAGTGTAACAACCATTGTTTTAAGTAGATTATGTATGTAAGGTAATAGAATATGCTTTAATTTTCTTATAATAATATTTTGTAACTAAATGTTTTTTTCTTGGAGTATTACTGTAAAAAGTATTTAAAATTTGATTAATATAAACTTGATTGAAAATGGAATGTAGAAGTGACTTTAGTTTATGAAATGAGAAAAAAGGTCACCTAGAACTAGATAATAAGTGTCATTATTCAAGTTTAAATAAAGCTGTAAAATACATAATATTCTTGACTATCTTACAATTGAGAGAGAATACACATGTGAGAGAAAACCATGAGCTAACGGGTATTTTGTTTGCTCCCTTTTACAAAAAAAATAAATACCAGAACAAATAGCAGACCACTACATTAAAAGTTTAGTATATATATTATTTACTTTACTTTTCTTAGATTGCTAAAAGAAGAACTTAACTTGGAGATAACAAAGTTGAACTCAGCTCATCAACAGTTTGTTGAAGATGAAAATACAGCAGCCGATGACTGCATGTCTCTCGCCCAAGAGGTGGAGTCTCTCACTGAAGGAGTGGTAGATGTGATAGCTGATACCCTCGATGTTTATAGTACATGTCATGTAGATAAGGTAGGCATTATATTATCCTCTTCATTGAAAATGGTACTAGTGGCCTAACACAATATGTTAAGTGTATGTATTGTTTTTAAAATTCTTTTAACAGTATGTGACTAACTTAACCTAACTTAACCTAACCTAACTGACTACACTTCCTAACTGACTAAAGTACCTAACTGACTAAACTACCTAACTATCTAAACTACATAACTGACTAAATGGGTGGGTTCGATTCTTGGAATGGGCAAATTATTTTAGGGTTTTTCTGAGAAAAAGAATAGCGTAAGTTACTCCTTACATAGATAGCTACCTGGTAGTAAAATATTATTAAAATCAGTCCAGCCATTTTGAAGATTACCAGGAACAAACAGAGACAGACAAAAAATATTTAAACTGGTTTCTAGACATAGGTATTGTGCAAATAAGGGTTGTGAGCATAAAAAGAAAACCTATTATTTTGACATTACAATTTAACAACAGACACTTCAATTTTATTTATTTGTATAGATTAAACTACTAAACTTGGACTGACCCGTTGTGTTAGTGGCTTTGAGTGCTTAGCCAGAGGCTCAATTACCACTCAGGCGAAATAATTGTGCTGATCACAGTTGTTTGTTCTGTGTCTGAGTGTATGAGTGTAACCTATCTATATGTGTGTATTTAGAAATACATTATTATGTTTATTAGAAGTTTTTTACCTTAGTTTTTTGGCTCTGGCCAATTTGTAATAAAATATTTAGAATAACTATGTTATAATAATGTTATTTTCAGGAACATGCAAAAAAGTTTTTCACATTTGGTCCTTTCGAGTCATACAGACAGTCTCAGGCGTTGTTCCGATCCCACTTTGATCTGTTTGCATCTAAAAAGATTGCAAAGGTACAGAATGATATAGCATCTGATGAGGAGCTGCGATCAGCACTAGTGGAGGCCAACCAAATGGAAGAGAGGTGAGTTAAAAATAAACGAATTTAAATATCATCATCATTAACAGCCTTTACTAGTCCACTGCTGGATATAGGCCTCCCCTTATAAAGGTGGTTTGGGCATACTTTACCACGCTGCTCAGACGGGTTGGTATAGGGTTTGTTTTAAGTTTTCCTTCTCTTTGCAGTGCTGTTGTCCTGCGTATTTTGTTCCCTTAGTCGGCTCTTACGATACCCACCGGATGAATAGAGGTGGTGATACTCCGTATCTTAATCCGTCACCACACACAATTTAAATATACTAATTGGAAATGAAGAAATTTTTATTTAGAAACACAAAGAAAATAAAATACAAAAATGCTCAACAACACATAAAATAAGTGTTTCAGATCTTATCAAATAAATATTTAACGCGGTCCCCACAATAGGCAAGACTGTATAGTCATTTTGAAGATTAGTGGATGACTTGATGATTAGACAAACTCGTCAATTTTATATTCTTCGATAATTGAGAAAAATCTTCTATACTCATCATATTATACAAACCACTAGCATCTAGCCACTACCATCCGGCCGTCGAAATATATTGATCGGTTTTCAAGGAAGTTTTTGCCTCAAACAACCAAACAGTGAAACAAATTGTAAGATTGTACTCTCATCTTAAAGGCTTCACTTTTCTTGTGATTCTTGATATGTCGCGGTTGGCATTACTACTACACTAGCTCTTGCTTGCTAGCTCGCACTAGCTAAAAACTGTGGTCAAGATAATAGAAAATTTTCAGATTAACCGATGCTGTATGGGCCTATATAGAGTCAAAAGCGGAGCTGAGTGGTGAGCAGGCTAAGTTGGCTCTTGTCACTAACTACAAAGATGTGCATCCTTCGCAAATCACGTAAGTATTGTATAAATGTATGATTAAAAAAAATGTAGCATGCTCTTGGAATTAGGACTATGAGTCTCGTCTTGTGTAAGATAACCTTTATTAATGTCAATTTCAAGGTAGATAATGAACTACCTGTAAACAACAAAACCACGGACGGGCTTGTTGGTCTAGTGGTTAGTGGGCCCGACTGCTAAGCCGGAGGTCGTGGGTTCGATGCCCACCCAGGACAAATATTGTGTGATGAGCATGGTCATTTGTTCTGTGTCTGGGTGTAATTTTATCTATAATATGTATGTATTTAAAAATATATAAGTATGTTTATCAGCAGTATGGTTACCATAGCACTGGCTCTGCCTAGTTTGGGATCAGACGGCCGTGTGTGAGATGTGAAATTATTAAAAAAAAAAACATAAATAGTAGTAAACCAAAAAAAGCATTGAGTCGAATTGTGAATCTGTATATTGAAATTGGCTGTATATTGTTTCTAGCACTTGCTTATTGGAAGCTCAAAGTGCAGTGGAACTATTAGAACAAGAGGAATCGATCCTGTACCAGCAGTTGCACCAGGCCGTCAAGCAATTGGTGGACGCGAGGACCGCGCTCGCCGTCGAGACCACAGCCAGTTGTGCGCTGGCAGTCAGACAGTAAGTGTGTTATTTGTAAACTTTTCTTTTGTGTGTTCATTTTCCATTTGCGAATATGTTTTTTTTATTCTAATTATATAGCATATATAATTTTTTTGTTTTAAACCATGCTTCACCATTAAAAATAGTAATACAGGGTGGCGCAATAGAACGTGCATATTGCATCATCTTTTTTCGCGGGGTAGAAAGTGCGCGGGCGGGGGGAGCCTGCATCGTTGGGTAGGCGGGCTCATGGAGTTTTAGTCACTATGAGTCACTTCGACGGGAAGCGTCGCGCATTTTGCGTGCGCGCATTTTACGAGAACTCTCGTTCATACATCGTTACTAGGCGTTTATATTGTTCTGAATATGGACTACGGCAAATTAGTAAAGCTCCGAGTGCTAATTTAATTAAAATATGGGTACAGCGTTTTGAAGAGACTGGTTCAACGTTTAAACCACAAGCAAAAGGTTGTCCAAGAACATCTAGGACCGACGACAATATTGAGAGAGTTATGCAGTCTGTACGAGGAGATCCACAAATGTCTACTCGTAAGAGATCGTCTGTCTTACACTTATCGCGACGAAGTTTGCAACGAATTTTAAACTTGGATCTTAAACTGCATCCTTACAAGCTGCAGTTAACACAAGAATTGAAAGAGTCTGACTTCGGAGCAAGGCTCGCATTTGCTAATGAAATGCTTAATCGATTTTCCAATTTTGACAATATCCTTTTCTCAGATGAGGCCCACTTCCATATCAATGGGTTCGTAAACCGTCAAAATTGTCGTTACTGGAACAGTGAGAATCCCAAACTCAAGCACCAGAAACCACTGCATAGTCCTAAAGTGACAGTATGGGCAGCAATCTCTGGTAGAGGAATAATTGGACCGTTTTTCTTTGAAAATGCGCGGGGGCAAAACGTCACTGTTAATACCGAACGCTATGTTGCGATGTTGGAAGGTTTTTTGGCTCCAGAGCTTGAAAATTCAAGAATAGTGAATTCTAGGACTTGGTTTCAACAAGACGGAGCTACCTGTCACACATCAAATGACTCCATGGCGGTTGTGAAACAGATGTTCCCTGGCAGACTGATTTCGAAAAGAGGTGATATCCCATGGCCCCCACGTAGTCCAGACGTGACGCCTCCTGACTTTTTTTTGTGGGGATACCTCAAGAACAAAGTCTACAGTAATAATCCGAAAAACAACGATCAGGTCAAGGAGAATATCCGTGGTGAAATGGCAGCAATTACACCAGCATTACTGAAGAAAGTTTTCAATAACTTCCGTTTGCGATTAGAGGAGTGTCGTCGTAGAGAGGGTCATCATTTAGACGATGTTATTTTTAAAAAATAAACTTCAGTTATTTCTTAATAATACCTCAGTTTTATTTTAACTATACCTTTTGTATTTATTTTCTAATCAATATTTTAAATATGCACGTTCTATTGCGCCACCCTGTACAATAACAAATTATACAATAGCAATTGAATTAAAATGTGGGTCCGTAAATATCATCTTAATTGGAACGAAGTTCCTTATCGCGCGTTGTGAAAGGGGGCTAGAAGGAGATTTTACCAATGTATAAATTGTTTTAATTAGAAACCAACTGAAAAATATGTAGGTAATAGCCGCTTTCATAGATGGCGTTGTAATTAAAATCATGTCGAATCAGTTTTACTCCATCGTCACAACTTCGTTCCTATCGGGTGTCCCACGACACCACACGGCTTTTTTTATTTTATTTTGTTCTTTTTAAAAGACAACTCACGCATAAGGAAAATAGCTTGTGTCGCGGGGGACTTTACAAACAACATGAAACGGCCACAAAGAACACCCAGACTCATGACAACAATTTGTGGATCGCACAAATTGTCGACCCATGTGGGGATCAGACCCACAACACTCAGCGTAGTAGTAAGCGGCGTGGCGACCGCTTAAACCACTACGCTATCCGTGCAGTCATATCTAAGTATAATTACAAAATTTATAGAGAAATGACCAGAGAAACAAATAATTATTTGTGAAATGTATTTTTTTGTGTGTTTCTGTTTGCATTTTTGATTTAAAAAGTATGCCTTTCGATAAAAAAGAAAGAGTTAATGGTTGTCTTTTTGTATTTGCTTATTTCTAAAGATTGTTATTCATGTTTAATTCATAAACATATCAATTATCAAGTTTCAATGATTGTGTTTTAAATTTTTTCATGCTTATATTTTCTAAATAAATATAGACAATCCATTAACTTCCTTTGTATTACACATCTTAGATTCATTAATGTTAAACTCTACAGGAAAAAAAGAAATATAATTTACTGTAGTCCATTGTTGTTGACAGTTTTTAGAAATATGCAAGTCACAAATCACTACTTCATTTTATGGAGGAATTAGTGTATTTATGGTCCATAAATACACAAATTCCTCCATATTGATAATAAAACATACATCTGAATGTTTGTATTTATATACTAGCTGGACCTCATTCACGATGAGCTTGAAAAGCGCTGCCTTAGTGGGTTCGATTCCTGGACCGGACAAAATTTTAAAGGGTTTTTACGAGAGGAAAAATTGCCTAAGTTACTCCTTATATAGCTACCTGGTAGTAAAATATTATTAAAATCGGTCCAGCCGTTTATAAGATTACACGACTGACAGACAATTATTTTTAAACTAAGGCATAGGTATCGTGTAAATAACCGTGTGAGCATGAAAAAAAACCTATTATTTTGACATTACAAACAGATACTTTAATTTTATTTATTTGTATAGATGTTGTAAGTATTTAAGTGTATTAGATGTATGTACACTGTAAACGTATGAAGTAACTTTATATTTATTCGACTATTCATTATTTTGAATATATTGTGATAGAACATCACAGTCCAGTCAAATTGAGATTTGACAATATCCGTAAGAGATCACCTGATGGCAAGTGACTACCGCCGCACATGAACGCCTTGGAGTATTTATTAGTACGTCTGTCAGGCAGGTGCAGTCGGCGCTGTGCTCAGCTCTAGAGGCGTGCGCGTGCGCACTGCGGCTGGACCGCGCGCTCTACACCGCGCTGCGTCACGAGCTGCGCACCGTGGAGCAGCTCCTGCACTTCGCGCACCAGCTCAAGCACTACGTGCGGGACGAGGGGGACGCCGTGCGGACCAGGATCGTTAGTGCACTTGTTGTTTCTTGCACTCGTACACTGCTCCAAATTAGACTACAATTGCGTTGAATTTCAAGTGTCCGAAAAAATCGGTTTAGTCGTTCTTAGAGTTATAAATAGTGTAACTAAACAGTCTTTTTTAAATTTATTATGATTCACCAAATGTTTTTACCATTTCAGGATGCCATGAACGAAATTTATGCAGAACAAACGGCATGCGAAGTAAAGTTAAACGCTTCCGACATTTTGTTACAAGCTTTACACGTGATACTCAGTGGACAGACTGGCAGTGATACTCAATTATTAGTGAAACAGTATTCTGAGCTACTGAGTGACGTAAATGACTTGAAAGAGAGCGTTTATGAAGAATACAAGAATAAGGAGAAGGCCTTAGTTGATTTGTAAGTTCTTTTGCTTATAAATCAGATTATATTTCGGTATGTAGTCGAGCATTTCTATGTCGAAAGTGTTAAATATATTTTTTATAGATTTTCTTATGATATAGTGGGGCAAATGAGCAGACGGGTCACCTGATGGTACGGGGAAGTGACTGCTGCCGCCCATGGGAGAGGAATTGAAAATTCAAGTGCCTTTTCAGTTCCTCACCCCAGAATTAGGGGGAGGGAGAGGGTTCGGCTCCTGTAACCTCACTCATTCGGTGACACCGACGATAGAATTGCTTAACACCTATTGGTGTCAGAGGTTAATTTTACTTGCTTTAATTTGTACGGGGGGTCCCGTACAAATTAAAGCAAGCAAAATTAATCTTTATAGCAGAACTTTTTATGTCATAATATTATTTTGCATAACAACGGATAGCATAAACTACATTTCGCAGAAAATCCTTTTTCAGACACTCATTTATCATACATTCAAAACTCATAATTCTGTAAGTCATAATCATCTTTAGGCATAAACTTCATATCCATAATTATTAAAAGGTAGAACCATCATGTCGCCGAAGGTCATAGTCAAAATCGTCTTTGAGCATTTTCATATCGATACTCATTAAAAGGCAGAACTATCTTATCTCAGAAAGTTTACGGTGAGAATCATTTTTTGGCATATATTTCATATCAATAACAATTGAAATACTATCTATCCATCATTTTGTATTTCTTACCATAAAATTTAAATTTATTAATTGAACACATATATTTGTCGGCTACGGATTTGGTCTTTATTTCCCCATAAGAAGCATGCAAACAAGCATACACCATTCATGCGCGCAACCATGCAGCATCCAAGTAGGAATGCAGGCAAGCATGCAGCATGCAGTATATCTGTTCTCCGGCGCTGCGGTGCTTTGCCGGGCCCACGCGAGTTTATCGTCGCAGATGAATTTAACGTTCAGCACCGCAGGCTTCGTTGAAACCCCCTCCTCCTCAGCTCGCGGGCTGCCTCGCCCCTCCGCGCCTACGCGGCCTTAAATTACACTCTAGGGGTAGGGCAGACAAGACTACGTGGAGTCGGTTTTGCGGCAATTCGTTTCTGTTGTAGCAATTTTGGTAGCAAGACATGATTTTTTAAGATAATATTTTAAGTTAAGGTTAAAAGTGCTATTTTATGGCAATATGCCTAAAAAAATTATTTCAAATCAAATCAAATCAAATTGTTTATTTGCGTATTACAGGTTATACAAAGATCTTATATGGTAGTTTTGGCCTCTGTATACCTTTTACCTTTACCTTTCAGGTGTGCAAATATTTCATACAAATTAATTACACTAAACACAACAAATATGTATTGAATTGTCATAATATTCGTAAATAAAAATAAAAACTCTTAATCCTAAATTGTATCAGTACCTGAGCAAAATCGCAGAATTTTTAAATTATGTCAAATCAATAATCCAGTATTATCTATATGTACATATATATATCCATTTTCAGTGAATCAGTAACAAATACTAGTCACAATCATTGAACAAAACAATTGCAAATGTCATTAAATAATGTCTAAGAGGAAGTCATTTTATCCTGTAGTACGTTTTTTCAATCAGAAACGCTTTTAGTTCACGTTTAAATTTACATATGTCACATATTTGACGAATATTTTTTGGGAGCTTGTTAAATACTCTAGGAGCCATACCGAGGCTATTTTTATTAAAAAGTGCACTTGTATGTGGCGTTGCGTGGATTCTATCACGTTGTCTTTGGCTTTTAAGGGATTGAAAATATTCTGGATGCAATTTAATAAAAACTGCCAACTCAAAAATGTACAGTGACGGAAGAGTCAAAATCTTCAGTTACTTGAAGCGATGTCTGCAACTGTCCGGCAATCTTAAGCCACATACGGCTCTAACGCGTTGTTTTTGTGCTCGAAACGCATCGTCTCTCTTAACTGAGTTTCCCCAAAAAAATGATTCCGTACCGTAGTGTAGACGTGACGCAAGCATTATAAGCAATTAGTACGACCTGTAAAGTCGCTGCTTTAGAGAGCATATATAAAGCGTACGAGAAGGAATTTAATTTTTTACATATTTCTTCTATTTGCGTTTTCCATGACAAATCTTTATCAATCCATAATCCTAAAAATTTTTGATTAGTTACCTCTGCTATGTTAAGCCCAGCATAATTTATGTTTATGTTAAAAGTCTGTGTCCGTTGTTTGTAATGCATTATTTTTGTTTTGTCTAGATTTATTTTTAAATTATTATTTGCAAGCCATTCAATAACTGTTTTAATCGAATTATTAATGTCATCTTCATATATACTCAAGTCAGTTGTCCCTAATCTAGAAAATATCATCGTGCAATCGTCAGCAAATAAAATTATAGGTGTGCTGTCTACTTTCGGCAAGTTATTTATGTATATAAGGAAAAGCAATGGCCCCGATACACTCCCTTGTGGTACACCGTACCTGACATATCTTGGATCTGACTGGTATTCGACTTCAGTTTTTGACTTTGGACATATTCTGACTACTTCCGTTATTTGTGTTCTATTTTCTAAGTAGGAACGTATTAGACTAAGTGCTTTATCTCTTATGCCATATGCATGCAGTTCGTCAAGAAGAATTTCAAGTGACATTCTGCCATCTTTATACACGGTGATTTTGAAAGCGTTTTGGAAAAGAAAATTTTTAATTATTTATCAGTAACAGAAGCTATATATAACGTTAATTTAATAAAAAATAGATATTTTTTATCATCAAAGTCGATATTCATATCGTTTACAGAGAAAAAGTGAGAACCAGTAGTAGGGCTATTCAATCACACGTAGGTAAATACTACGAATAGAAATACTATGCGTTTTAATATCGAGTCACATAAAATCGTATTCGCCAATAAAAACAAAGCTACCGAGTTGCGCCGGAGTCGTCCAACCAATGACGTCTGCCCCGTAGGCGCATGCGCGGGACTCACCTGTAATCGTGAAGCGTCCTTCGCTTTCAGTCGGTCAGTACCATATACAATACCATAACATCGTGACGGCGAATTTTCAAACGTGGAATACTTCTTGGCAATGGTACAGCTGTACGCTACTGCCAACTACAACTTGGAAGAGGCTCGGCGATTGTATTCCCAGCCGGAGCATTTAAATGCACTACGGCTACGTCGAATTGAAAGCCCTCAAATTCCCTCCACACCTACCATCTTGGCTGCAACAAAACGTCTTCTCGACCACGGACAATTTCGTGCGCCTACTCATGCGCAAGGTCAAGGACGTTTAAATTATTATTCGCCGGAGTGTAGTGCGTGCATACCTGGACAATGAGTTTAGTGATCGGTGGATAGGTCGAGGAGGGCCAGTGCCTTGGCCACCTAGAAGCCCGGACTTAACGCCACTGGATTTTTTCTTATGGTCGGAAATAAAAAGACTTGTTTATACACGGGAATATGAAAGCCGTGATAATTTACGCAGTGCGATAGTGGACGCTTTTGATAAAGTGAAAAGTGATAGAGACACATTAAGAAAATTAAAAAACAATTGCATGTGGACGCTGCATTCAATACACAAACGTGGACGGTTGTGTATTGAATGCAGCGGACTCCATTTTGACCAGTTGCTTCGATACAGAGACGTGTAAATAGTGTAAATAGGTATGTAAGTTAATTATTTTGTAGATAGCTCCGATTTTTTAAATACGCCTGAAATATTTATACCTACAGTCCGTTGATAAATTGATTTGTTGTGAAAGGAACAATCGTGGTTAATAATCGAAAAGAAGTTTAAATAAAATAGGTATTTCCGACGGTCCTAAGCCCGTGTAAAGTATGAAGGACAAATTGGAATCTATCTACGTAAGTACTCGCTAGCTCGCGCCTATAGGTATACTTGGTGCGCAGCGGCCGCCGAAACGCCCACGGACGTGTTTAATTTATATAAGATAATGAATGAATGATCAGTCCATTACTACTTTCCAAGTCGATCGAGTAAAAATGAATATTAAAACTGAAACTTTTTTTTAGACAACATTACAATTGATTTAATCATTTTTATTGGTACTATAGATGATTCCAAATTAAAATATTTCGTTTCCAAAACGCCTATAAAATCACCGTGTATATATCCATTTTCAGTGAATCAGTAACAAATACTAGTCACAATCATTGAACAAAACAATTGCAAATGTCATTAAATAATGTCTAAGAGGAAGTCATTTTATCCTGTAGTACGTTTTTTCAATCAGAAACGCTTTTAGTTCACGTTTAAATTTACATATGTCACATATTTGACGAATATTTTTTGGGAGCTTGTTAAATACTCTAGGAGCCATACCGAGGCTATTTTTATTAAAAAGTGCACTTGTATGTGGCGTTGCGTGGATTCTATCACGTTGTCTTTGGCTTTTAAGGGATTGAAAATATTCTGGATGCAATTTAATAAAAACTGCCAACTCAAAAATGTACAGTGACGGAAGAGTCAAAATCTTCAGTTACTTGAAGCGATGTCTGCAACTGTCCGGCAATCTTAAGCCACATACGGCTCTAACGCGTTGTTTTTGTGCTCGAAACGCATCGTCTCTCTTAACTGAGTTTCCCCAAAAAAATGATTCCGTACCGTAGTGTAGACGTGACGCAAGCATTATAAGCAATTAGTACGACCTGTAAAGTCGCTGCTTTAGAGAGCATATATAAAGCGTACGAGAAGGAATTTAATTTTTTACATATTTCTTCTATTTGCGTTTTCCATGACAAATCTTTATCAATCCATAATCCTAAAAATTTTTGATTAGTTACCTCTGCTATGTTAAGCCCAGCATAATTTATGTTTATGTTAAAAGTCTGTGTCCGTTGTTTGTAATGCATTATTTTTGTTTTGTCTAGATTTATTTTTAAATTATTATTTGCAAGCCATTCAATAACTGTTTTAATCGAATTATTAATGTCATCTTCATATATACTCAAGTCAGTTGTCCCTAATCTAGAAAATATCATCGTGCAATCGTCAGCAAATAAAATTATAGGTGTGCTGTCTACTTTCGGCAAGTTATTTATGTATATAAGGAAAAGCAATGGCCCCGATACACTCCCTTGTGGTACACCGTACCTGACATATCTTGGATCTGACTGGTATTCGACTTCAGTTTTTGACTTTGGACATATTCTGACTACTTCCGTTATTTGTGTTCTATTTTCTAAGTAGGAACGTATTAGACTAAGTGCTTTATCTCTTATGCCATATGCATGCAGTTCGTCAAGAAGAATTTCAAGTGACATTCTGCCATCTTTATACACGGTGATTTTGAAAGCGTTTTGGAAAAGAAAATTTTTAATTATTTATCAGTAACAGAAGCTATATATAACGTTAATTTAATAAAAAATAGATATTTTTTATCATCAAAGTCGATATTCATATCGTTTACAGAGAAAAAGTGAGAACCAGTAGTAGGGCTATTCAATCACACGTAGGTAAATACTACGAATAGAAATACTATGCGTTTTAATATCGAGTCACATAAAATCGTATTCGCCAATAAAAACAAAGCTACCGAGTTGCGCCGGAGTCGTCCAACCAATGACGTCTGCCCCGTAGGCGCATGCGCGGGACTCACCTGTAATCGTGAAGCGTCCTTCGCTTTCAGTCGGTCAGTACCATATACAATACCATAACATCGTGACGGCGAATTTTCAAACGTGGAATACTTCTTGGCAATGGTACAGCTGTACGCTACTGCCAACTACAACTTGGAAGAGGCTCGGCGATTGTATTCCCAGCCGGAGCATTTAAATGCACTACGGCTACGTCGAATTGAAAGCCCTCAAATTCCCTCCACACCTACCATCTTGGCTGCAACAAAACGTCTTCTCGACCACGGACAATTTCGTGCGCCTACTCATGCGCAAGGTCAAGGACGTTTAAATTATTATTCGCCGGAGTGTAGTGCGTGCATACCTGGACAATGAGTTTAGTGATCGGTGGATAGGTCGAGGAGGGCCAGTGCCTTGGCCACCTAGAAGCCCGGACTTAACGCCACTGGATTTTTTCTTATGGTCGGAAATAAAAAGACTTGTTTATACACGGGAATATGAAAGCCGTGATAATTTACGCAGTGCGATAGTGGACGCTTTTGATAAAGTGAAAAGTGATAGAGACACATTAAGAAAATTAAAAAACAATTGCATGTGGACGCTGCATTCAATACACAAACGTGGACGGTTGTGTATTGAATGCAGCGGACTCCATTTTGACCAGTTGCTTCGATACAGAGACGTGTAAATAGTGTAAATAGGTATGTAAGTTAATTATTTTGTAGATAGCTCCGATTTTTTAAATACGCCTGAAATATTTATACCTACAGTCCGTTGATAAATTGATTTGTTGTGAAAGGAACAATCGTGGTTAATAATCGAAAAGAAGTTTAAATAAAATAGGTATTTCCGACGGTCCTAAGCCCGTGTAAAGTATGAAGGACAAATTGGAATCTATCTACGTAAGTACTCGCTAGCTCGCGCCTATAGGTATACTTGGTGCGCAGCGGCCGCCGAAACGCCCACGGACGTGTTTAATTTATATAAGATAATGAATGAATGATCAGTCCATTACTACTTTCCAAGTCGATCGAGTAAAAATGAATATTAAAACTGAAACTTTTTTTTAGACAACATTACAATTGATTTAATCATTTTTATTGGTACTATAGATGATTCCAAATTAAAATATTTCGTTTCCAAAACGCCTATAAAATCACCGTGTAGTATGCCAAGTGAAATCGTACCAAATAAACGTCGCTCTAAGTGAACGGTATGCTAGACGAAATTATGGAGAATTTTAACTCTGCCAAAGGTGATTACGCTAAAAAAAATTATGCCATCTTAAAAGTATGCCATCGTAAATTTGGACATATAAACATTCGGCCCACCAATGATTATACTCAATATTTTTTATGCCATAAAGGTATTCGTTTAAGGAAGTTTCTGACGAGTGTGTTATGCGAAATAAATTTCGGAGCATCACGATTCTGGCAGATAGAGGTTCACCCAATTTGTACACGAGTGTGTTTCGTGCATTCCAGCAAGTCTCGTACGCAACCCCTCCAGCGCTGCGTGTGGGGCGGGTCGGGGCGCGGGGCGCGGCGCGGGTCGGTGCGCGCGGCGCGGGCGGCGCACGCGCTGGCGCAGCGCCACACCGACGCCGACGCGCACGTGCTCGCCGCCACCGGCCGGTTCGCTGCCGTCAAGGTACGCTCTACTGTGCCACTACCGCACGCACCGTAGCATATATCGTGGTCCGACAGGCCGTACAGCCTTTCCACGAATTAACGGGTGTTACGTCCCTCCGACTCAAAGAAAACCCCCCTTGGAATCGAAATCGGTTTCCCAGTTCAAAAATCTACCCCTATTAATTAAACATAAGTTCTCATTTGAAACTACCGAGATTCTGTATTAGTTGTGTTATTGTATTCCGACTAGTTATAAGAATGACAAATATTTTAGTAAGAAATACCGTTGTTCTAATTTAAAAAAAATCAACAAGTCGATAAACCTGCAGTAATTTAGCTTTGGGGGTCTGAAATATCAGTTCATTCTAGAAAATGGGTCTATTGCCCAAAATAATTTGCGAATTCCTATGTCTAACTAAAGGATCATGCTCAGAAATATTGATATTACTAAATCGTATATACCTAAAAATCAGCACTAAAGTTTTTGAACATAGTCATTTGTTACTGCATGATTTGGTTCTCCTAATCGTCTGAAGCTCTTTTATATTATCCCCTTTTTCTAAAAAACGCACATTAGTAAACTCTATTAAATACTATATATTATTTTCAGAATGGTGATAAACAGCACCTGAGAAAGCTCTGGCAGTGGTTCCTGACAGATCCTGCTAAACTATTGTCGACTTTAAAAAACGCCAACTGCAAGTTTTATGATTAATAAAGAGAACACGTTTGGTAACAGTATTATTATGATCTTTTACTAAAAGCTGGTCATTTTGATGTTAATCAAGATAAGCTTTTCTCTGTAATATTCTCAAAGGTTTCTGAAGGAATGTCGCTCAACGATCTTGTATATATAAGGAAGGAGTCCCAGCAGTTGGACATCGAATATCATTAAAAATATAGATTCGGGTGACAATGTGTAGAATCTTACGAATTAAGATTCGTAATAAAAGTCAAACCCGCGTTATTTTACGGACTTCTACACCTAGACCGATTCTTTTTCTAAGCTTTCACATGTCAGAGAAAGCGAAAATACAACATAAAAATACTGGACACATGTTTTTTTTATGCCCATCTCACTCCACAGTTCTCCCACCTTCTTTTCTTTTCTCTCACGCGTCTTCCCGTCTCATTCTCAGCCTGCTGACACGCATCCCGTTCTTATTCACTTAATTTATATAGATAGGATATAATAAAGAGTTTATTGCATACCATTGTTAGGAAACATACAATGTAGGATACAAAATAAAAAACAGAAGTACAAGGAGCGGTCTTATCGTAGTCTACATTCTCTTCTTTATATGGACTATACTGTACATCAACAGCCTTTAATAGTCCTGTGCTGGACACAGGCCTCTCCTTAAAAAGGAGGTTTTGACCTACTATACCACGCCAGACCAGACGGTTTGGTATAGGGGTTGTTTTAAGTTATGCTCCTCTTTATAATGCTGCTGTTCTGCGTAGTCTGCCCTTAGCCGGCTCTTACGACACCCACGGGATGAATAGCGGTGATGACACTCCGTATTTTTAATCCGTCAGTACACGGACTGTATTGTGTATGATGAGTTTCACTTAAAGAAACTAGTATAAATAAAATTTCGATGTCAGCGTAAAGAATAAGTGCCTTAAATGAAATAAAACATTTTTATGTAAAATTGTATTTATTTTATTTCAACTTATTTAATAAAAAAGAGTATAAAACATCTATAAATAATTTACTAAATGATCACAACGATTCTAATTTATATGTACAATGACTTAAAATATATTTAGTTGTTCTTTGCTTACAACATAAATTGTAACTTGCTAACTCTCTTCCTAGCCCCGTCTCTACGATGTTTCTACCCACGTTTAAAAATAAATTAAACTACCCGAAAATGAAGTCTTTAAAAAATTTATGGCTAAAATTGGAAATGTTGTTACCAAAATATTATGTCAAGGTTTTTATAAATATTTAAATAGGTAATGTTTTATTACACAAAAGAAATCTTGTACTTTAACTTTTTTTATGATATGGTATAAATATACTACCTAATGGTAAGTGACTACCGGCGTCTATGAACACCTGCTACTCAATAGTCGCAAGTGTATAACCGCTCATTGAGTATCCCTCGCCCAGAATCAAGGATAGGGAGGGGAAATTGGGTCGCTGGTTCCTCACCAACTCGGTGAAAAGCAAGGAAAGAAATAACATAACACCGGTTTTTTGTGTTACTCCACTTGAACCGGCCTATTTGTGCCCATAAATATATATAAATTTTTGATTTCAATAATGACCATGATGTACGTACGCATAAAACATTGCCCAAAATATTAAAATTTTATTTTTTGGTGTTAAATTTCTTGTTATAATTGTCTAGTCCATTCAAAGTATTTTTTTCTTTCACTGGATTTAGTAACTTATGCATAAAATACGCCAGTACAACCTGGAAACAAAATATTGAGTCTTTTGTTATGAAAACTCATTATAGTCCAACCACGATTTTTTAAGATTTACGAAACGATAATTTCTTGGAATCTGATTGGTTAGGGGGCGGGACTTGATCGATGCGTCACTATTTTCTTAACGCGAATTTTACCCACTGTCTATTCCAGAAAAATAGAAAAAGTGGCTTCCTATGCTATCCGCTTTCATATACAATAAATACAACAGGGGTAACAGTTGTCATAATCCACTAAACTAATAGTTAACAAATCCTATTTTAGTTCATAAGTCACTAGAGAAGTATATGATTTCGTGTCTCATCGAAAATGAAAACAGTAGAACTTAAACGAAAGGTTGACATAAATTGTCTAAAAAAAGGAATGTCTATGAACAATACTGAGTACCCCTGTTGAGTCGCATCAGATGACCTCAACGAAGTTTCACCGTGACTTGTGTTTGGCACACAAGTGTATGCAGGTTCAGTCCCACGTAGGTCTGGGTACCTTCCTCAGGAGCGTGTCCTCGGGCGCGATGTGTATGGGGTTGGTGAAGTCCACCTCGATGTGCTCCGGGATTGAGTCGAAGTACGTCACGTGCTCATGTATGCGACCGTTATCTGTAGAACAATGTATCATCCGGTATAAGAAATGATGCAAATCTTGTATACATGTGGGTATGTAACTTTTTAATTTAATGTTGCCAACTCCTGAATACGATTTTCTACCATATTTTTTTACAGAAACTAAAAACTCCTTTGACATGAACATTATCAGTTCGCTTAGCTGCTTAGTCCACCAGTCGTTTTAGTCTTAGTCCACTGCTGGATATAGGCGTCTCCTTAGAAAGGAAATTTTGGCCTACTACACCACGCTGGCCAGACGGGTTGCTATTGGTTTTTTTTTTTAAAGATTTCCTTCTCTTTGCAGTGCTATTGTCCTGCGTAGTTTACTCTCTTAGTCGGCGCTCACGACACCCACGTTATAAATAGGCGTGGTGACATTCCGTATTCTTAATCTGTCACTATACGGACTCTCCAAAAGTATCCAGCAAACCCTTAGTAATATTTTTCGACATCAAATTGAAAATGGAGAAGAAAAGCAGAATCTTTGGAAAGGACAAAAACTTACGTGTAAGATTAAGACTGGCTATGATATCGTCCAGGTGCCTTTGATCGAGGCTCGCTTTGACGGTAATGCGCCTGGTCACACTGCGCCGGTGGCGTGATGTCTTCCAGCTCACTCTAGTGGTGGAGTTACGACCCAGCAGGGGGAGGGTGAACACCATCTCCGACAGAGGGGTGTTGTCTGGGCCGAATTCCTGTAAAAGGACATAATTTTATCACAATGCTACTAGCGTAGGCCTTAGGATAGAAGGAGTGGAACTATTGCTTAAGCCGCCAGAGGAGAGTACCATGAAATTTTGCACACACTTGAGGATTTGGTAAATTATATAGGTAACTTTTCATCCAGAATAAGTACCGTTTTGGTGGATACCTGAATTGATTGCATTTTTTCCAATTTATTTAGGTAAACTACACGTTTCTCCACTCAAGAAAAGTAAAATAAGTTAATAAAAAAAAAAGTATTATTAACAAGTTCACAAAAAAACGCAATCGAATTTCCTTCTTTTTAAAGTCGTCGAAAAACACCTAGTTTTTATCCCGATGAAATCCAACTAAATTCTCTAAAATATACCATCATGGTAATACGCCATTTTAATAACTTGTAGCAGTGGAATAAGAATGTAAATAAGCAAACATGTTACCAAACATTTCCCGCTGACGCAGTAGGAAGCGTTCCTCTTGCCGCAGGCGGTGCCGAGCGGGAACCAGCCCTCGTGGCCGTTGACGAGGTAGAAGCGGTGCGCCACGCGCTCGTCCTGGCACGCGATGCGACACGGCCGGTCTGGGTCCTCTGGGGATAACAACATAGGGTTACTATGGGTTTTTACCAATTACAAATAGTTACTTAATAGCCAGTAGCTGTGTGCAGTAGTTCTTAGTTCAAACTTTGGACTTAATAATAATCAGATTCTTTCTCTGCACCAGCAGCTGAGCCAAGTCTAATTTGGATAAACTTAATGAATACTATCATTAAAAACTATGATGAAAAAATTCAATTATTTGAAAAAGATTAAAATAGTAACTTATAATTACGTTACTGGAAACGCTAGCCAGAGCCAATACGTCATTACCCGATAAATAAACTCACAGCTGTGACACTTGGTAATATTACACGCTTTATAGGAGTATTAGCTTCACTTGTATGTTTGTTTGTATGTTCGTAATCAACTCCTTTGGGTGTGATTTTGACTGACTGAACGGTCAGAATTCGTTCAAACTTTGTAAAAAAAAGAAACAAATTATATTTTTAAAAAACTAAAAAGCACGCTTTCTATAGAAAACCAAACTAAAACATAGAAAATGAAAGATGAGAAAAGCGTGGGGTGCTTTTTACTATTGACAACAGGCACCCAACGCTTTTTTTCAAATTTATTTTCTATTTTTTAGTTTGGTTTTCTATAGAAAGCTTGTTTTTCAGTTTTTTAAAACTATATATATATATTTTTTTCCATTTGAAATTTGTAAAAAAGAAACGCGTTTGTGACTTCTGAGTTGCAAACATTCATGGGCCGCGATGGTCACTTTCAATCAGGTGACCCGTCTGCTCGTCTGCCCCTCTAATATAAAAACAAAAATCGCTACTCATGCGTAGATGTAGGCGGTGGAACGGTGGCGTAACATTGAATAATTTGCTCGGTTCGACAAAAGCGCCGAGTAAAACTATCCTTTTGCTAATTTGCTCGATAGAATGCTTAGTGAGCTGACATTCGCACGAACACTCATCACAAGTGAAAGCTCAAGTCTATCAACACCTTTTACAAATGCCATAAGAATTTTCCAACCTGAAAATTTTAAAGTACCTAGGTGCCTTATAGTTTTTATTTTCATTGATTTTTTTCTGTGATTAGAATATCAGTTTGGCTTTAAATAAGAATTAAGTAGTGGTGAACATCCATATTATATTGGTCAGTGAATAGGATGCTGTTACACCATTTAACAAGACAGCGGTTTGCATAATTTAAAACTAAAAAAATAAAAATTTATGTTTGAAGAATAAATTACCATATCCAATAGAATTATTTTACTGTTTCAAAGGGTTATGGATATGTATATTATTTTTCTTCCTTGTCCTGACGGAATAGGAATACGGAGTGTCACCACCCTTATTCATCACGTGGGTGTCGTAAGAGCTGACTAAGGTAGCAAACTACGCAGGATAACAACGCTGCAAAGAGAAGGAATACTCGACACAAACCTTATACCAACACGTCTGGCCAGCGTAGTATAGCAGGAGAGGCCTATGTCTAGCAGTGGACTCTATATTGTGACTCTATACTTTATATTTATATTTTTATATTAGAATAAAAGAGGGATTGATAAGTCATCAACCAGCTATGTGTACATAGAGCGTCTATATCTTACCTAAAGCCGGAGATATTTGCATGCCCAAGCCGGACAGTCGTCGAACTCTGTCTTTATATTTGGTGCACACCATTGTTGCATACTGGTATGGCGATTTTCTTTGCGTACAGCCCTGAAAACATCAAATTCTGGATATCTATGGTGGTAACATTATCCGGTTTTTTTCAGAGCTTGTTTTTAAGCATTCTGGAGTCTATTGAATTGTCTTGTTTTTATCTGACTTTTTATTTTTAAATTGGTGCTTTTTATATCTAAATACAGTCACGCTCTAGGTTTTCTTGCAGTGCAGTCTCTAAAGTGCAGTCCCTAACTATTTTTTTATTTATATCAATCTGCCCCTAAGTTGTGATAGGCTTAGATAAATCGGGTTATACTCACTGAATCGGGTCGACTAGCATCAGGTCTACACAATTGAATGCTGGTGACTGGTCGTGATGCAGCTGTGACCAATCTGATTCCGGAACCTGGCGAGATACAGTGGTAGTGGCAGCCACTCGCCGGGCGCCATTGACTTCCCACTGCACGGCGCCAAGTACCTGAGGTTTTTGTCCTGGCAAAAAAATAAATATTACAATTTTGTTTTTTAGTGATAACATAACTTTGGCTAGTGCTTTTCGATGGCCTTACAATATTATTGATCGTTCCCATAAAAGTTGTCGCATAGAGCATTTCTTGGACTGGGAGACATACAAGTTATGATGCGAATTTTGAGACAAATAAAACTCTTTGGTATCGTTTGTTGCTCGTAAAAGACACGTTTTCTACTTACGGAGTCGGCGACAGTGTAGCAGTTCTTAGAACTTCCCATTCGCAGTCACTTGGCCTCAGAGAGAATTCGTTGTCTTGGTTCGAGGAACATGTAAATTTCTGGAACGACGATAACGATGGTGAGCGGCACGATTTAGATGCAATATCCTGTTTTAAATGTGATGTAAGTTATGAGTCGTACCTGGCAGACGCCTGCGATGCAGAACATGGGCTGTGCGGTGGAGCAGGCGGTGCCGTCGGGCAGGCTCCAGCCGCGCGACTTGTAGCCGCCGCCGCGCGTGTCGCACCACACCGCGCACGCGCTAGACACGTCTGCGCAACACACAACCTTTACACTTTACCCACTCTTCTATAATTCCTAATGCTACTATCTCCTGTCTATGTGCAAGTAGCAAAAACAATTTACTATGCTATGCCCACGGGTTCTATGAAATGTGTGCTTACATAGCATTAGAGGTTCAATTTAATGGCCAGATTCTAGAATGAATTAATCATAATAAAAATAAATATCATAATAAAAATTTTGTTATTACTGCGAACTCTACGTGCAAGTGTCACTACTTACAAGTAGAGTGCAAGTTCGCATAATTTCTTTTTGATGAAATCAATTTATACTAAAATATTTTATAACTTACCCGTACTGCAAACGTTTGCACAAATTATAAAGTCAGAATATAAGTAAATCCCAGAAAATCTTTAATGTTTTAACCGAGACCTTTGATCCATTGGGAAATATGTTAATTAAGTATAACAACTGATAAAAATAATTTATTAAATATAATTTAAAATAATTTTTGGATTTATATATTTAAGTATTATTTAAAAATTTAAAATTGAATTTCTCAAATGAACTAGGTCCAAATGTTATGTAAAATTCTTAAATTGGAATGCCTCAAGGAAGTATTCTGGGACTAGTTATTACGTAAGTAAAGCGATAAAAATAATACTAACATTTATATACGATAACTTACGCAATAACTTCTCATACTAAGGAAAGAAAATACGGTAGTCTGTATTTAATTTTATCTAATAAGTACGGTCGTCTAATCTTCTAACTCCAAAATTTAGAAAAAAGGAATGTTTGGACCGCACATACAATTTTTTTTCTATTTATTTAAAACAACTGTTAGAGTTTCCAATGATGATTATGAACGATTCATCTGATAGATCACATTAGGATTTACTATGACTTATGACCATTGTCAAAATAGGTTACTTACCATCAGAATCAATCCTTTGCAATCCAGTTCCAATGAGATCAGGGTCCACATCACGTGCCCTCAAACATATCTGGTCTGCGAACTCTCTTACTGTCATTCTGGGTACATTGCTGCACTGGAATATGTAAAGAATTGTCCGTATTAAGAAAAAGCGTAGCAAAATGTAATAAAATAAAGGCAATGATATGTACCTGTTGCGCGTGGCATGATTGGTACTTTTTGTCGTGTCCCATACAGTAATTTTTGCCATTTTCGTGTCTGTAACATTAGAATAATATAAGACATTACATAGCTCTAGCTAGGCTTAACATTCAACTAAAGGTTAAGATTAGCCTATGTTATAGTTTCTAGAATGTAGATATATTTACTTAGATACCCTCTTTTTCGAATATCTTTTATATTATACGTACATAGAAGTTCAAGACCATGTTCGTGCATGCAAAATGAAAGGCAAACAAGATGTGAGTTCAGTATTGTGAATACAAATATTACAATAATTTCGTGTTTCCTGTAGTATAATATCTTATGTACTTTTTACACGTTCAGCTTGTGGGAGAATTATTCGTTGGCATCATATGAGGCCCTCCGGGTTTAGGGGAGTGATGCAGCTGCCCTGATGATGCAGTGCCTCGGCAATGTTTTCAGAGGCAAGAATTGGCTGCTTTTACTCCACGATACGCAAACGAGCAACAACATCCTTGTCGCGGGTAATAGGCAGTGCCTAGAGAGCCCTAGTCATGATAGCCGACAGAATGGACACATGACTCGATGCTGTCGGCTACATGCATCTTATTATAATTATGTACCTTAATACTAGGGCAAAGTTTTAATGTACCACTAACAATTACTATGAGTAAAAGTTACTCAAAATAAATTTGAGGAGGGGATCAATCAACAATTTTACTTAAACGTTACTCTGTGATAAACTATAATACTATGTAAGATCACTATGTAGGCATAGGAATAGGAAACCAGCTGAATAGGTACGTCTAATGTTACCATATTAAATTAAAATAAAGACAGATTGAAAATGAAACACAATTAATCAACGTACGCATCAATTAGTGATGATTTGATATTTAGTGAATATTGACATTTTATGCACATTAAACATTTTGATTTGATAGGAAATGTATTTTTATTAGTATCAATATTCTGTATAATGTTACAATAAGAAACTAAGTGGCCCAAGGTAAGAGAACAACTCACCTCGCTCTAGTACACCTTCTGGTAGCCAAAGCGACTCCAGCTGCAGCAGGCGCGTGGGTGTCGTCCACCAAACACGCTGAAGCGCATTCCGACCAGCTCGACCAGCGACCCCAGGATCCCCTCACCACGGTAGAACCTTCGCGTTCCACGCATTCTCCACCGTGACAGTACTGACAACATTTTATCAAAATCACTATTATAAATGTACAACAAGTATTGTACATAGGTCCTTAATCAATCAAGTTTGATTTTATAAGTTTTTTAATAGGGTGGTCGAATAAATAACAATGTCCGTTTCATTAAAACAAATATCACAAAACATTTCGGAAAATATATTATAATTCTAGCTTTTTATAACTATTACAAATTTAAATCAAATAAACATTGAAATCTATTCTTCAGTTGTCTAAAAGTCAAGTAGTCTAAAAGAGTGACGTCATAAGGTGTATTTCCGATTGAAAAGATCGTCCCATTTATCATGTTTTAACACACATATACTCACGCCCTTCTTTAGGCAAGGGGTAGGCAGATTTGTTATAAAAACATATTTTTCCAACTAGTTGAGGCCACTTACGTGATAACAGGCAATAATTATACGAAAGTTGGGAGATTATTTGAAATAAAGGAAAGTCTATATAGATATTGCGTATAGGCATAGATTGGAGAATATAAACAAGGCAAGGTCGCATCCTGTAATCCGTATTGGTTATTGCCGAAATGTCTGAACTTTTTGAATGAATTTTATTTTAATATTTTAATTTTTGCGGTAGGATATATCATTATTATCATCAACAGCCTTCAATAGTCCATAGTGCCCACTATACCACGCTGGCGAGACGGGTTGGTACAAGGTTTGGACCAAGTTTTTCTTCTTCTTGCTTTTAGTTTGCGTTTTAGTTTTTTGTAAAAGAAATAACCATACTAATTTTTATGGGAACCACCATAAAAATTAAAAGAAATCACACAGTAGGTAGGCATGTATACATTTTATGAGGTAAACATTACAACACAATTCTTACAATGCAAAAATTAAGTTCTGGCCATAAAATATGTTAGAGGGGGGAAGGGGAGACGAACAGAAAAAAATAATTAAATTAAATTAATTAATGAAATTTAATTTTTATTTTGTTATATGATGAAATACATGACATATTGGCTCTTACCATGTCCTCTCCACACCTAGTACCTTCCAAAGCTGGGTGTGAAGTCCAGGTGTACCGTTCTCTCTGACAGTGCAAGTCTCTACAAATGTCTTCCAAACTCTGAGCAGCGGAATGTCTGCTGCCTCGACCGTATTTCAGCATGCCTGAATACGAAGTCATTCAATATTATTAAAAAAGATTTTTAAAATGCACTAAGGTTAATTATAATATTAACAAAGTTCTGTTTGTTTAAAATGTTCACACGTAAAACATCACTTACAGTCCCTTTACTTATTACGATAAAATAAAAGGATTAGGAAATTTAAATGTTAGCTTGGATCACCACACTGTACACATAAATGAGAATAACCTTGGTAACTGTTAACTCTCCATAGTCTCGCTTTTATTGGCTACCCGTAAACGCAAACATAGTACCTTCTTGGGGTAAGTCCCTAACAAGGCGACGCGACGTTTAGAGACAAATTGATGTCGTCCTTTTACGGTGGCTACAAGAAAGTGAGGAGAAAACCACTTCAGGCAGGCGTGCATTGGCTACCTATTTATGAAGTCTTGTACTAAGTGTTTCTTTTCCAGCTTTTATGTATGATACTAGCTTCGCCCGCGGCTCTGTCCGCGTCTATGTGGGTTCTCGCGATAAAAGTAATCTATGTTACTTCCTGATAATGTAGTTTTCCATTGGTGAAAGAATTTTTAAAATCGGTTTAGTGTTTAAGGAATGAAAGCGAAACAAACAAACAAACTCAGTTTTACATTTACGATAATAAACTAGCTATTTATTGCCTGCGGCTTCGCTCGCGTGTATGTCGGTTATCACAGTAAAAAAGTAACCTATGTTACTCGCTGAAAATGTAGTTTTCCATTGGTGAAAGAACTTTTAAAATCGTTTTAGCGGTTTAGACGTGAAACGTAACAAACAAACTCATTTTTACATTTATAAAATAAGTACTTATGGATAAGGGGCAGACAAGCAAGCCAAGCCACTTATCGCTGCTTATAGACAGTATTAACTCAAGAGTCACAAGTGCGTTGCCGCTTGGGCCCTGGTAACCTCACTTCATCATCAGCCTATCGCAGTCCACTGCTGGACATAGGCCTCTCCCATTGCACGCCACTTAGATCGATTTTGGGCTTCTCAGTGACCTCCCTCACTTACTCAGTGAAAACCAACAAAAATTTGACAGCTATAAGTAACTGTCTCAAAGGTATATGGTACCTACTATTGTAAGCAAAAACGTTTCTTTTACGATTGGTAATAAAAATAAGGGCTACAATTTACTTGGCTTGTGTTTATTTTTTTAAAGACAACTCCCGCATTAGGAATATATCCTGTGTCGCGGGGGACTTTACAACATACATACATGAAACGGACACAAAGAACACCCAGACTCAGAACAACAATTTGTGGATCACACAAAGTATCGTCCCGTGAGGGGTTTGAACCCACAACACTTAAACCACAACGCCATCCGTGCAGTCAAATCTAAAAATCTAATTCTTAAACTAGTTTACTTAATGTAGTAGTTTGAAAATAAAATATATTTTGCGGTCACAAGCATATTTAAATTTTTATTATTTATAAAACATAAATTGCCTGACGTCGGTTTTCTGAGAGGCCATTGTATCGCTCCGGTTGAGTCGGTCCATTTGTGCCGAAGCATGGCTCTCCCAAGATATAAAACTTAAAGTTAGTTACTTGAACAAATTCGCTTCTTCACGTCCTATCAGTGATATACCTCAAATAGTGTTTATACTCACATTGTTGATCAGCATCAAATCGTTCTCCAGGTAAAATCCCTTCGGCACTGTGGTCCAATTGACCGGCTGAATTGCCATGGTCAAGGAGACATCGTGACTGAACTGTGCTGTAAAAGTAGAAAATATCATCTACATCTCGGAGATAACGCAAGCTGCGGACGATGCTTCTTTGTCTTTGATAAGGTATTTTAAATTAAATAATTGAATGTTTGCACAACATACCTACTACCTATTCCTAATATTGAAAGATTAAGAATGTTTTTTATAATAACAATAAATGGAAATTATTACAAAAACAAAATGGTTTTTTTTTCTATAAACATTCACGAAACAAATTCTGTCACGAAGAGTTCTGCCTGTTTAGTTGGAAAATATCTCAAGATCGTATTCAGAAGACCAATTCTCGTAATAAAAATATTTAACATCCAACGTTGCTTGTAATGTGATTATCTCGTATTGTGACCGAACATTGAATCGGTAATCTACTAGTCTCAGCAATACTTTACTATTTTATTACGAAATATTTTATAACAGTTGCGAGATCGAAAGTTAATCGAGACTTAATTTTGATAGGATTTTCAACAAGAATTGGCCTTCAGGATCTGTTAAATCAGCAGAACAAATAGTATATTACTTAGCGCAAGTTAATATAGGTTGAAGTACCCTAATTGTCGATTCCAAATTTAACACTAAGTTTTCACCATATTCTAGAACGAAATGATCTTTACACGTAACCCCTTTTATAGAAAATGCCAACATCCGGAAAATAAATATGTGCTATCCCTCATTCGAAATATGCATACAATTGTTGTTTATTAAAGCTTCACACTAGTTTCCCTTTATACCCGAACATATATTAACGGTTCATTGAAGTGATCAAACAAAGATGACTAACTCGAGAAATTTCTGTAGATAGCTGTTGCTGCAGTGTGACCAAGTGATCTTGCCGCTGCCAAGGGTTGGACTCATGATGTAGGCGCTAGGATCGCATCCGTTATCTGCTAGGGGCCCGTCGTGCCGCATGCCAAGGCTATAAATAAAACAGTTACTTACATTAGTCAAACAATGAGTAAACATTTATTCCTAAAGATTTTTGCATCACCACATAAAAATAGAAGAAGATGAGGAAGAATGATAAAGCAGGTTTAAGCATTACTAACTTGTGCCCTATCTCGTGCGCAACGACATAGACGCTCTCGAAATGTCGTCCCTCGTTGACCGTGCAACTGCTGGTCACAGTGCACATACCAGCCACTGGCGCTAAACCTAAAACAAGAAATACTTTGAACATTTTGCTTGATATGCGTAGTTTTCCAATTTCCCTCGGCTTTCCTCCACAGGTAACAATGTCAGTTGTGGTGACTGAACCTAAGGGTTAGAAATTCTTTTTCAAATTTAAATAGGACCATAGAAAGGGTATGCTTCCCGCATACCCTTTTAAATAAATATAGCTTTCTAGAACTACGTTTCCCATGTAAGCAATTAGATTAGACAGTACCAGTTGAATAATTACTCAGAATCCAGAATCAGAAGTATATTAGAGAAGAACTGACATGACGCTTTGATATAGAACATTACCAACGTTTCATAAGATTACAGAAAGCATAGCAAATTATACTAATACAAAAGATGTAACATTATGCTCGTTATAATCTACTTAACCATTATGTTGTTGTAACAATACGTTTATTTATGGTTACGTTTGTTTAAATTATAATTTATGAGTCTACTATAAATTAGCCTTTATTTTTCTCTTTTAGAATTTCCGGTAACATTTGTTGCCAAACATTTTGAATACTTGTAGTATTAGACATTGAGCTGCTCTCGTCTTAGTAATGTCGCTGTCCCACCGTTGCTATCCTTTCGTTATTTTATTACATATTTATAATTCATTCCATAATTTAAAGTAATCCTACACTATCAACTCCTAAACTATGCCAATTGTTCTAGAAACATGTTAGATTCTGTTAACTGACACTAGTTAACACTTGTGCAAACTTACCCACAACTTGACTGCTGACTTTCCCGTTTTTGTTTACTACATACAGATCCAATCCTGTCAATATCAGTGCATGATCCCAATGCAAAGGATCATTGTCCCCTGGTGGGTTCTCCAGTCTTTGCCATGTGCAAAAGTTACTTAAAAACCTGTCTATGTCGTGAGGTCTCTTCAAGTTCGCGGGGTCTTCGTGCAAAATCTCCAGTCTCTTAAGAATAAAATTTACTGGCCTACCTAAAGAAGGATCGTGGTACAATAGCTGCACAGCATTGATCATTGCTAAGACAAATCTGACTAATTCTCTCTCTGTATCTTTAGGAAAGTTTATTGTCATGTGTTTGTATAGATCTCTGTCCACGAATACTGCGGTTTCCACGAACACTGCAGGTAAGATTGCTCGCCTTTGTCTCTTTCCTTCATTCGATAGTTTCTGTATGAAATCTGTTAAAGTTTTGTTTCTATGAGCTAAATCTAGTTTGAATCCTTCTAAATTATTATTTATATTGTGAGCTATTTCTCTTTTTCTTCTATGTTTCTTCCATGTTTTGATAGGTCCTGGTCCTATAGTTGCTTGTATGTTAGTACTTTCTATGCATTTTTCTTCTTCATCAATTTCTTTGTCCCCGATCTGTTTTTTGACTATCACATGTAGTTTTGCGTTATCATCATGAAATCTTTCCGGTAGTGGATGTATGAAGTAATAGGTGTCGTTATTTCTGACTAAACCCCTCTGAAAGATAAATGAAAGTGTACAAATTAAACTTCTCTCATGACTTTAAGATGTAATTTATAAAGTACATTTAACTTTCTTTCTCCTAAATAATTTCACGTGATAATAATAAATCAAGAGGTAAAAACATAAAAATGCAATTTATTTATTTAATTTATTCTTATATATTGTACAAAATTTACATAGTTGTATGTTAAGTGTTTTTCTGCATTCATTACTTGTGATTCTACACAAGTAATGTTATAATTATTTTATTAATTGTTAGCGTAAAACTTATCAAGTCGAAAATTTATTTGCTGTTCATGTGGTCTATATAAATATTACAGGTTTACTACAAATAGTGAAATTGTTTCAATATCGTAACATATATTAAATAAATAAATATATTATATAATGTTAAGTTAAGCTATTATTAATTTGTAATTTAGCTTGCTGACACACACTCAATCATATTACAGGAATAAATAAAAGTTCTTTATGTGCATTTAATAAAATTGGTGATTAAATTTTAAGTACGTACCACATCATCGCAAATATAAAGAGCAGAATTATCACTCCTGTAATAACACCTATCCAACTCTTCATCAGAGTGTTGGTCTAACACAGCTTCAGAACTATTAGACCACCTCCTCATCAGCAAGAACTGGGGATCTATAAAACTGTTCTTAGAGTTCGGTCGTAAGTCTAAGTGCTTCTTAAGGTCGACTAGGTCTTGATCATCGTAGAGTAGTGAGCGTTTTCGACGTTTTGGGTGTTTGAGATGTGCTATTTCGAATTGTGCTTCTGGAATAGAGACATTATATCTGTAAAAACTTATAGAAGAAACGTATAAATCATAGTCATATGATGTTTAGACTGACATTATGTTTTATTAAAACATGTTCGGTTGAGTTGGTCGACTAGTTCCAGGTATGTGAGCCTATGGGGGGGGGTCGTCTACTCGTCTGTAGATGGCTCGAGGTATGTCGGGGCACCAGGGACTTCCTTTCTAGGGTATACCTGGTTCCCCGGCTATTAGTACCCGAGACGGCGTGCGGTTTTAGTCGGTTCGAGTCCGACATACCACCGATAGGTGGTATCCGAGGGGATTTCCGCACGGAAAGGAAATAAATAAAAAAGGTAAGGTATGAGCCTGACCTAGTGGGGTTTTTACTTAAATGCCTTAATTTATCCGCATGAGCATTCTCCCCTTTCTATCACTGACTTTCCTGCTTGTCTAACTTTACCTTCTATATACTTACTCCCTATTCTTCAATCTAAATTTAATCCATAAGTGCATGTTGACAAATTTCTGTTCAACTGGGCACTAATCAGTTATAAGGAGGAGGCGATCTCATAAAAACGATAAGAAAATTGATTTTTAGGCAGAGGTATCTTGAAAATAACCGTGTGAGCAAGAAAAAAAACTATTATTTTGACATTTCAAACAGACACTTGAATTTTATTTACTTCTATAGATAGGTATCGTGTAAATAACCGTGTGAGCATGAAAAGAATACTATTATTTTGACATTACAAACAGACACTTCAATTTTATTTATTTGTATAGATTAATTTAGAACAATTAGTTTATTATTTCTTTTTTCGCCATATCTTTTGTCCGTAATGAGCTCAGTAATGAATCGATTCCAAAAGATTAGAGTTTTCAAAATAATAATTAGTACTAATTATATTATACTATTCAGCATTGTCTGAAGTCAATGTTAGTATTGTACAGAATAAGCCAAAAGTTCACATGTTATAATTGTATCGTAAAAAAAGTGTGTCAAAAGCGAATTAAGAAACTGTTTTTCAAGATCATGTGTTATGCTCTTGAAAAATAGTTTTGTAATCAATTCTTTGCACTGTTTTAAAAATATAATTGTGAGAAACAGTTCTAGATCTTAAATAATTACGTAGATCTAATTTTTATGTTATTATGATTTAATTATGTCACTTACCGTTATAGTTGGCGCCGAATAGGAATATTTTCTCAGAATCTGTTAAGTGCTCTAACAGTTGCGTTGAATGTTCCTGGAACAAAAAAAACAAATGTAGATAAATAATACTTACCTAATCCTGACTCGAAAACCATTACAACTAATAGAAAGAGCTGATAATCTATAAACGACAGAATTTATATGCTTGGATTATAGTTAAAAACCTTCTCGATTTAGTTACTTTTCAAATGAAACTAAATCAAAATCGATCACTAGATACGTTTAGGAGCAAAGACGAAGGTATACACACACACACGCGTTAAGCTTCTAACACCCTCTTTTTGTTTGTCAAATTTTATCCATATCCGTTTAGACGTTCAATTAATCACAGTGCAAAACACACTCACACACTTTCGCGTTAAAAACAAATTAAATCATTGTGGTTATGCAAACACACTTACAGTCGTGTATTACATTTTTTATATAATTATGACTGCCATTTAATTAAATAGTCTTTCACATTCTGAAAATTTAGTAAAGAGTAATTAACATTTTATGAAATTAACAATCATTTATATTACTAAGTACAAGAACATTTGAAGTAATTACAAATTACTAAAGGTGCACAACTTCGTGCGTCTTTAAACAAAACACTCGCGTCTTTCATTCCCTTTATCCCCGAAGGGTCTACTCCCATCCCATAGGCGTCTACTGTTTTATAAACTGAAAATTATTTAATTTCTTAGGTAAATTGTTGTTAGGTTAATTTATAAAAGTACCAGAATCTGTAACTGGTAGCGATAAACCGGGAACACTACACAAATACGTAAATCTTTATTCCGTCAGTCACAAATACGAATTTTAAAATACTTCAGATTCATATTTCAGAATGGTTCAAAACACCTATTATAACAACTCCGATTGATCTTTCATTCTATTTCTATAATTTAAATATTCCTAACGTTTTAAAAATACCGAGGTGTTTCCCGATAAATTATAATTTAGATCAAAAATATAATTTCTGAATTTCTAAAATATCAATTTTGAACGCTCCTCTTATAACGCTTGTGACTTACAAGTGTCTATGGACGGTGGGTTTCGCTTACCATCAGGTGACCCATCTGCTCTTAATCCGACATCAGATTATATATATTACACGGTTAAAACAACGCATCACACGCTTAGATTGCAGTATTTCCCATACAAGTACCTATTAATCAGAAAACCACAAGATTTAGTCGAGTCCACCATTCCATTAAATTGTGGGAAAAAAGGTTCACGATTACGTATTTTATAATGGAAGTTAGTGCCCTTTTTAGTCACGGTAAGGTAGAATTCCTCATTTGCTCTCATCCAAACTAAAATGCGTCGGTGTCGTGACGGATTAAGAATACAGAGTGTCAGCAGCCGTATTCATCCCGTGGGTGGAGACGAATAAGGGAACAAACTACGCAGGACAACAACACCGCAAAGAGAAGGAAAACTTGAAATAAACCCTATACCAACCCGTCTGGCCAGCGTGGTATCGTAGGCCAAAACCTCCTTTCGAAGGAGAGGCTAATGTTCAGCAGTTTACCATTAAAGGCTGTTGATGATGATGATGAAACTAAAATGCTTGTATTAGGAAGTTCAGATTCGATAAGCAAAACCTTGCATTAGGTATAATATGAGCAACAGACTATTGTTTGCCGTTATTGCGCCCGGGTAGCCTCGACACCTTATTTTCGACAATAGATGCTTTTCGCACACACCGCCGCGATTAAACGGAACTTAATTACAGTTTAAGTTATAGAAGAATGCCTACTGTCTCGTAATGTACTCTCTTTTAACTTAGGATATGTTCATAGTTATCTAATGGTATTCTATTCCAGGACCCTATGACCTTGGTTAATAAACACGCATATGACTTCAAGCATTGGGAATATTAGAAGAGTCACCAGTGCGTTGCTAATCTATCTACACTGACATATTAATGTTACGTCCTTCTTTACAACAGTTATTTTGACTATCTGGAGATATCTTCTTAGGTACGTAAAGAAACTACTAGACTGCCTGAAGATTATTTAGCGTTTATACACGGATGTAGAAAAATACATTTTGAAAGTTCTGATAATGATAATGACCAAAAATGTTACTCCGTAAGTCCCGTAGCAAATCTTTGGCTGTGATCGTGGGGTTCTGAATTTGGTTGCTGTGTTAGGAAATATGTGATACATTTTGTTTTTCTTATCACAAAAAAGTAAAATCTAGTTCTAGTCTGCGAATGAGCTTAAAAATTCAAAAATTAGGTGTTAGCTGGCGAAAGATGCCTGTACTTATGCACAGTTGTGGTGACATGGGGATAGATTTATTTAATAACTAGCTTTTGCCAGCGGCTCCGCTTGCGTGTATGTCGGATATCGCAGTAAAAAGTAACCTATGTTACTCGCAGAAAATGTAGCTTTCCATTGGTGAAAGAATGTTTAAAATCTTTTTACTGGTTTAGGCGTGAAAGCGTAACAAACAAACCAACTCATTTTCACATTTATAATAAAAGTATTAATGAATCGCTTGTCGCTTATGCTTTGACCGACAGTTTGAATAGTTATTGTTTGTTATGAGCTTAGATACTGTTTCTTTTGATGGGTCAGCACGTTGTTTTAGACAATCTGATATTGATAGTAACTTCGTGTTAATTGTCATTGAAATAACGAAGTTAAGTTAATATTTAGATGCTTTCATAAATATTTTAAAATGTATTTTTAAGGTGTACGCATACACCACACTACCATGTGTGTGCACTTTTAATTATCACCTCACTCGTTTCAATGCGTACTGTGAAGTAGGTTTCTGCTGCAATACAAATATTATTTAGTTTATAGTAACTAAAATAAATACATATCCAACAATTACAATTGACGGGAATCGGACCTCGTGACTCTGGTGTTCCAGTTACTCCACTGACTACGTAGTCGAAATCCCTTCGGTGATTGCGAGTTGTTGGAATAGTTGTGTGCAGAGAGCTAAGAACTAAGTGGGCATATAAGTATCCAGTCTGGACTGACTTCGATTGACTAATAGATTTGTCAGATCATATACATTAGAGTGTCCTCGTGCTGACGGATTAAGAATACAGACTGACACTACCCCTATCATTCCCATGGGTATCGTAAAAGCCGAGTAAAGGAGAAAACTACACAGAACAACAGCACTGCAAAGAGAAGGAAAACTTGAAACACACCCTTTTATACTCATATACCTTGAAACCCAGACGGGTTGGTGTTTGGTTTGTTCCAAGTTTTCCTTCTGTTTGTTTCAAGTTCTAGAAAAACCAGCGTGGTATAGTAGACCAAAAACTTCTATCTGAGGAAAAGCCTATGTCCAACAGTGGACTATTAAAGGCTGTTGATGATGTTGATATAGGTGAGAGGGTTCGGACTATTGTTTATACTCCTCAATTCACCCGTTTAACCAATATCCCTTAAGCCTATCCCATATAGATGGCAGTGTTTGTTTATTTAAATGTAATATTTAACTACCTGCCCTGTTACTCTTTGCTGCGGCATATTGTGATTGCAAAAATTAGATAATAAACATCTTTGAAGAGTGTTGTATATCGTGTCAAAATTTGAGCTCAAACGATATAGAACTTTTTGAGTTTTTGAAGCGTACTCATACCAATTTAACTTTTTTATATATTTGCATTAATAAGTGTTATAACTCGCATTCTAAATGCACAATCTCGCCGCCTATAACCAACTATCACACAACAGTTACGTTTATAATGTAATTTAATCCAATTTCTTTCACTTTCTTCATTGTAATTATCAAATTTTTCACTTAGAGCGACGTTGAGCGCGAAAGTGTGTAATTGTTTTGATGAGTTCAAAAATCTCCGAATACAATGAAAGCATCCGACATGGCCTGTTTCTTTCGTTTCTTTCTTGCATAACAGTTAATAGATATAAAAGATCTGGTTTGGAAGAACTTATTGTTTCGTTTCGGTGTAAGTGTTGACCCTGTTCGAAAATATGACGAATTATTAAAGGTAAAAGTTAACTAACAGCCCATGTTTACATTATTTATTTTCTTTTTCCCATTATACCATGATGAACAGACGGGTTAGTATCGAATTTGTTACAGATTTTCCTTTTCTTTGCAATGTTTTTTTTGTGCTGCGTAGGTTGCTCCCTTAGTCGCCCCCGCGTTACGACACCCCCGGGATGAATAGGGGTGGTGACACTCCGTATTTTTAATTCTTGACCACGCGGTGCATTCCAGTATCAATACGGCTCATTCTTTTGCCATATTATTTTACATATATATATGATAAATATAATATTTATATGTACATATATATATGTACATATAAATATTATAT